GGTGGTTTTCAAAATGTGGCTCTCGCCTTAGCGTCGTTCCCATTCGTTTTAAAAGTTGGCACGAGCTTCACGGATTGATGGCGGGTCGTTTTAAAAAATGTGTTTATCGCCTCAGCGCCGCGCGCATTCGTTACAAAAAAATTGGCAAGAGCTTCACGGATTGAGGGCGGGTGGTTTTCAAAATGTGGTTCTCGCCTTAGCGCCGCGCACTTTCGTTTTAAAAATTGACAATCGTTTCACGGATTGAAGGCGGGTGGTTTTCAACATGTGGCCTCGCCTTCGCTCCGCGCACATTCGCTATTAAAAAATTGCAAGAATGTTCTGGATCCCCATGGTCGGCGTGCAAGAAACGGTGTTTTGGAAGGATTCACGATTGTGAGGGCGCAGCAGTTACGATGATTCGCGGAGTCGAGGTCCCAGGAATGGCGTTCTGGTACGATTCAGGATCATGGAGACGCAACAGTCAGGTTCATCCGTGGCGTTCGAATACCGAGAACAATGTTTTGGCATGATTCAGGGTCTTCAAACGGTTGTCTTCCAACGAGGCAGGTCCCTCTGTGGAAGTGAACAATTGTAGGGGCCTATGGTAAGGGAGCTTGGCGGGAGGGTTTAATCCAACATCGTTGGTGACTCTTGGGCTTACGCTGGTCCTCCTCCTCCTCCTCCAGCCTCCCCCAGCCTCCTCCTCCTCCTCCTCCTCCTCCTCCTCCTCCTCCTCCTCCTCCCTCCCTCCCTCCCTCCCTCCCTCCCTCCCTCCCTCCCTCCCCACTCCCTCCTTCCTCCTCCCGCCTCCCTCCCCACTCCCCATTCTCCCCGTGGCTCATCCTCCTCCTGACCCTCCTCATCCTCATCATCATCAACATCATCCTCAGCATCAGCAACATCATGTCATCACTATCATCATCAGCAGCATCATCATCATCATCATCATCATCATCATCATCATCATCAGCATCAGCATCATCATCATCATCATCATCATCATCATCATCGACATCATCGTCATCATCATCACCATCAGCATCATCGTCATCAATATCACCATCATCATCATCATCATCATCAGCAACAGCATCATCATCATCAGCATCAGCATTATCATCAGCATCATCATCATCATCATCACAATCAGCATCATTATCAGCAGCATCAGCATCATCACCATCACCATCATCATCATCGTCATCATCATCATCAGCATCAGCACCATCTGCATAATCAGCATCATCATCATCATCAGCATCATCACCAGCATCATCAGCATCATCACCACCAGCATCCTCATGGGCAGCAGCATCACGAGCATCACCATGATCATCATCAGCAGCATCATCATCCCCATCACCATCACCATCATCATCATCATCAGCATCATGAGCAACAGCATCATCATCATCAGCATCAGCAGCAGCATCATCACCATCACCATCATCATCATCACCATTAGCATCAGCATCAGCATCATTCCCATCAGCAACAGCATCGTCATCATCAGCAGCATCAGCATCATCATCGGCATCATCAGCATCAGCATCAACGTCAGCATCATAATCATCATCAGCATCATCAGCAGCAGCAGCATCATCATCAGCACCATCAGCAGCAGCAGCATCAGCATCATCATCATCATCATCAGCATCAGCATCATCCTCAGTATCATCAGCAGCATCATCATCGGCATCGGCAGCATCTTCATCTTCATCATCATCACCATCAGCATCATCAAAATCATCATCTGCAGCATCAGCATCATCATCATCATCATCATCATCATCGTCATCAGCAGCACCAGCATCATCATCAGCATCATCATCAGCATCAGCATCATCAGCAGCATCAGCATGATCATCATCATCATCATCATCAGCATCATCATCATCATCATCAGCATGATGATGATCATCATCATCATCATCATCAGCATCATCATCATCATCATCATCATCATCATCATGATCATCATCATCATCATCATCATCATCATCATCCTCACGTCCTCCCCCTCCTCCTCCCCACCAGAACGAGGCCGAAGATCCGCTCGGGGACCTGTCCCAGGCGAAACGTGCCAACAACGAGGGCGCGAGGACTAAAAAGCCGCCCCGGAAGCCTTCCCCCGCGCGGCCCTTCGAAAAACTCTCCTCCTCGTCCTCCTCCTCTTCCCGATCATCACCATCATCATCATCATCATCATCATCATCATCATCATCATCATCATCATCATCATCATCATCAGCATCGTCATCATCAGCATCATCATCGTCGTCGTCGTCATCATCATCATCAGCATCATCAGCATCATCAGCATCAGCATCAGCATCATCATCATCATCATCATCATCATCATCATCATCATCATTATCATCAGCATCATCATCATCATCAGCATCGTCATCATCAGCATCATCATCGTCGTCGTCATGATCATCAGCATCATCAGCATCATCAGCATCAGCATCAGCATCAGCATCAGCATCATCATCATCATCAGCATCATCATCATCATCAGCATCACCATCAGCGTCAGCATCATCACCATAAAAATAACAGCAATACGAATACCGATACTAATAATGATAATAATACGAATAATAATAATAATAATAATAACAATAATAATAATAATAACAAGTATCATCATCATCATCATCATCACCACCATCATCATCATCATCATCATCATCATCATCACGATCGTCATCATCATCATCATCCTCATCATCATCATCAACAGCATCATCATTGTCAGCATCATGATCATCAGCATCATCGTCATCAGGATCATCATCATCACTATCAGCATCATCGTCATCATCATCTGCAGCATCAGCGTCAGTATCATCATCATCATCATCATCAGAAGTACCAGCATCATCATCAGCATCATCATCAGCATCAGCATCATCATCATCAGCAGCATCGGCAGCAGCATCATCATCATCATAAGCATCGGCATCAGCATCAGCATCATCATCATCAGCAGCATCATCAGCATCATCATCGACGGCATCATCATCAGCATCATCATCGACATCATCATGATCATCAGAAGAACAATCAGCATCATAGTCAATGTCATCAGCAGCAGCATCATCAGCATCATCAGCATCATCAGCAGCAGCAATCATCAGCAGCATCATCAGCAGCATCATCAGCAGCAGCATCGTCAGCAGCAGCATCAGCAGCAGCAGCATCAGCATCATCAGCAGCATCATCAGCAGCAGCAATATCATCTGCAGCATCATCATCATCATCATCATCATCCTCATCATCATCATCATCATCATCATCGTCAGCATCAGCATCAGCATCAGCAGCAGCAGCAGCGTCATCATCATCACCATCAGCGTCAGCATCATCATCATAATAATAATCATCAGCATCATCATCGTCACGATCATCATCATCAGCAGCATCATCATCGTCAGCAGCATGATCATCATCATCATCATCATCATCATCATCATCATCATCATCATCATCATCAGCCTCATCATCATCAGGTTTATCATCATCGTCATCAGCATCCGCATCAGCATCAGCATCATCATCATCATCATCATCATCATCATCATCATCATCATCATCATCATCTCGTCATCATCAGCATCATCCTTATCATCAACAGCATCAGCAGCATAATCATCATAATCATCATCACCACCATCACCACCACCACCACCAGCATCAGCATAATATTAATCAGCTTCTTAATCATCATTATCATCATCATCATCATCATCAGCATCATCATCAACATCGTCATCATCGTCATTATCATCGTTATGGTCATCGTCATCATCAGCATCGTCGTCAGCATCATCAGTGTCGTCGTCGTCGACATCACCGTAATCAGCATCATCAACAGCATTATCATCAGCATCATGATCAGCGTCGGCATCAGCAGCATCAGCATCAGCATCAGCATCAGCATCAGCAGCATCATCAGCATCATGATCAAAATCATCATCATTAGCACCATCATCATCATCATCACCATCATCATCATCATCATCATCATCATCATCATCATCATCATCAGCATCAGCATCGTCATCATCATCAGCATCATTATCAGCAGCATCATCATTACCATCAATCATTGTCATCATCATCATCATCATCATCATCATCATCATCATCAGCGTCGTTGTCGTCGGCATCGTCATCATCGTCGTCGTCATCAGCATCGTCATCAGCATCAGCATCATCCTCGTCGTCGTCATCATGATCGTGGTCGTCGTCCTCATCAGCATCAGCATCATCATCAGTATCAGCATCGTCGTTGTCATCAGCATCAGCATCAGCGTCATCAGCATCATCAGCAGCAGCAATCATCAGCAGCATCATCAGCAGCATCATCAGCAGCAGCATCGTCAGCAGCAGCATCAGCAGCATCATCATCGTCACCACCACCACCATCATCATCATCAGCATCATCATCATCAGATTCAGCATCAGCATCACCATATTCAGCATCATAATCATCAGCATCATCATCCTCGCCATCATCATTGTCATGAGCATCAGCATCATCATCATCATCATCATCATCATCATCATCATCATCAGTATCAACATCATTATCATTATCATCATCATCGTCATCAGGTTTCGCATTCTTAAACAGTCACTACAAGGATGCAACCTAATTCCTTTTCAACACGGACCTCTGACCTGAATGGCAGGCAAATCCGGCGCTCGAAGGGGGCGCTTCCTGCAGTGCGAAAGGAAGGCTCCTAGGGACTTCTGAGGAGGTGGTTTGGGGACGGGAGGTCCTCCTTCTTCGGCTGCACGCAAGAGTGACCCTGGGTAAGAGTGACCTTTGGTGCGCGGCTTTTGGGGGGCCGCGGGGGAACCAAACTCAGGCGCGCAGGACGCTACTATCGCATCGCAATCGGTGATCGGGGGACCCCATTGTGCCCGCACCAAAGGTCACTCCGGCGAAGGGTCACTCTTTACGTGAAGTCGACTTCTCCTCCCTGCGGCACTGGCCGTGGCGCCTGTTCGTGATCTCCTCGGGCAAGAACTTCCGGCACAGTCTCTTGGTGATCTGGGCCATCGGCGGGGGACACTGAGGGGGGGAGAAGGAAGAGGCGAGGGAGGAGGGGAGGGAGGGAGGGAGAGGAGAGGAGGGAGGAAGGGGAGGAGGGAGGAAGAGGGGAGGAGGGAGGAGGGGAGGAGGGGACACTGAGGGGAGGAGGGGAGGGAGGGAGAGGAAGGAAGGAAGGACAGGAGGGAGCAGAAGGGAGCAAGAGGAGGGGAGGAGGAGAGAGGGGGGGGGCATGTGTTTCTCTTCCTGTTGTCACCCCCTCTTCCCCGCAGTCCTCCTCACCTCTCCTCCTCACGTCCTCTCCTCATCCAGGCGCTTCGGGCTCGAGCGCTTCTCGGGCCTTGCAGGGATCTTCTTCGAAACGCCAGCAGTCCCTGCGAGCCATGGGAGTTCGGTGGTGCTGATGAGTGGCGAGGTCACCGGGGGTGCGAAGCGGAAGTCCGACGGCGCCCTGTTCGTGGTGCACGTCGATGCCGATGTCGTCAGCTGGCGCTCTGAGGTGTTTGCCGCGCAGGACTCGCACGAGATCGTGGACCTGGATGCGATTGAGGCCCCGGTGGTGATCAAGGGCCTCGAAGTGCTCCAGGACCTGGAGGTGAGCGCCGTCATCATCGACTACCTGGAGGTGAACGGCGTGATCTGCGAGTGCCTGAAGGTGACCGACATGTCTTGCGAGTGCATGGAAGTGACCGTCCCGACCTTCGTGTGCCTGGGGGTGCCCGTCGGCATCTACGAGTGCATGGAGGTACCCATCGACATGGTCGAGTGCGAGAAGGTGATGGACGTGATCCTAGGCCTGGAGGCCATAGAGGGGATCCAGGGCCTGGCTGGAGGTGACCATCAATGTTCTCGCGTGCTCAGAGATGACCGTCGTCTGTGTCGTGTGCCCTGGAATGATCGTGCACATGGTGGACCGCAGCCTGGGCCTCCCCAGCTCCCTGATGAAGTTGGAGGTGACAGCCGTCGGCTTCTGGTGCGTGAAGGTGCCCTCCGTGATCATGGGCCTGGACGTGGTGGGGGGCCTCGGCGCGGGCGAGGGCCTGGTGGAGATCAAGGGCCTGGAGTGTTCAAGGGCGCTTGAGTGGCCATCGTGTTCTTCGTGCTCCTGGAGGTGGCCGTCGTCCTTTTCGCGAGTTGACCGTCGTCTTTGTCGGATGCCTGGAGGCGCCCGTGCCGTAGGTAGGCGCCGTGGGCATTCTGTCATTGCATTGTCAGGCCTCCATCCTCATTATAGGCACGAGGATGAGAGGACGTCCCGCTCGTCTAGGCGGGGTGTGAATTTTCTATGCGATGCTGCGCAGACGCCTCCGCCTGTCGATGCGTCCAGGCCCGCGTCGTCGCAGCGGCACTCAGGCCTCCCAGCCCTCCCTCAGAACGAGAGGATGGCGGCTTTGCTTGCGAGAGTGCAGGCCCGTGAAGCGGCATCGAAGGATGCCAACGCGGGCTAAGGCATCTGTTGTGCCTCATCTGGGGCTGAACTGTTGCCGCCTCTGCTGGTTCTTCTGCCTCAGGCTAAACGTTGCTGTTCGGGCCAGATCGAGTCGAATGTGTTGCCCCTGGCGTGCGCTCTCCGCGCGCAGGCACGTGAGGCTGCAGCCACTGATGGCTCTTATGGTTTCTCGCGTTGCCTGCTAGGGCAGTACGAGGCATACCGCTCATAGCTCAACGGTGCGCTCGGTTTTGCCTCCATGCATTTGCGTTCGACTCCTAAATGCGGAGTGAATCCTGCTTGCTTCCTCAGCGGCTCTCGCGGCAACGTCCTGGTGCCTAACCGTTGGCTGGAAGTGCGCGTGGCCCAACTGTGGGCGTAGGTTGCTGGTGGCAGCTGGCAGGAGACGCGAAGCGGCTGGGCTTTGATGCACGGCGTGGCGGCCGTTTGCGCCCGCATGCTCGTGTGGCGAATTTCTCCCGTGGGCGCCAGTGCCCAGCGGTCAGTGTGTCTCCTGCTAGGGCTGGCGACCGCATGGCAGGGTCGCGGCCCACGACCGCGGGAATACTCAAGGTGTCTCAAGCTAAACGTTGCTGACTGGTTTCGCCTCCTCGGCCTGCAGAGGAAAAAACATCATCTCCTCATCCTCTTCCCCCTCCACCTGCACCTCCCTCGTTCTCTCCCACGCCAGAACGCAAGCCAAGATCCGCTCGAACCCATCGAAATTATGGTCCACCCTCCACGGAGGCCTGTATCCTCGAGCCGCCTCCTCCTCCTCCTCCTCCTCCTCCTCCTCCTCCTCCTCCTCCTCCTCCTCCTCCTCCTCCTCCTCCTCCTCCTCCTCCTCCTCCTCTCCCTCCTCCCTCCTCCTCCTCCTCCTCCGCCCCGCCCGCCCGCCCGCCCGCCCGCCCCCCCCTCCCTCCCCCTCCCTCCCTCCCTCCTCCTCCCGCCTCTCTCCTCCCTCCTCCTCCTCCCTCCTCCTCCCCTCCTCATCCGCCTCCTCCCTCCTCCTCCCTCCTCCTCCTCATGCCTCGTGCCTCCTGCCTATGCCTCATCCTTTTTCTTCCTCCGCCTGCTCCTGCTCCTGCTCATGTTCCTCCTCCTCCTCCTCCTCCTCCTCCTCCTCGTCGTCCTCGTCGTCATCCTCCTCCTCATCCTCCTCTTCTTATTAGTGTGTTTCTGAATATTTCATACTTAGCATTAGCATTAGCATTATTATCCGTACTAGTGGTCGTGGTATGTTTCTGTTTCCCAATAGTGTATATATTAACAATACTAATCGTAGTAGTATGGTTCATCGAATTCTTCGTCATCGTCTGAATATTAGTAGTAGTAGTAGTAGTAGTAGTAGTAGTAGTAGTAGTAGTAGTAGAAGAAGCAGTAGTAGGAGTAGTAGTAGTAGTAGTAGTAACAGTAGTAGTAGCAGTAGTCGCGGCAGTAGTAGTAGTAGTAGTAGTAGCAGTAGTAGTAGTAGTAGTAGTATTAGTAGCAGTGGTAGTAACAGTACTAGTAGTAGTAGTAGTAGTAGCAGCAGCAGTAGTAGTAGTAGTAGTAGTAGTCGTAGTAGTAGTAGTAGTAGTAGTAGTAGTAACAGTAGGTGTAGAGGTGGTGGTAGTACTACTAGTACTAGTAGTAGTAGTAGTAGTAGTAGTAGTAGTAGTAGTAGTAGTAGTAGTAGTAGTAGTATTGGTAGTAGTAGTAGTGGTAGTAGTAGTAGCAACAGCAATAGCAGTGGTAGTAGTAGTGGCAGCAAGAAGCAGTAGTAGTAGTAGCAGTAGCAGTAGTAGTAGTAGTAGTAGTAGTAGTAGTAGTAGTAGTAGTAGTAGTAGTAGTAGTTGTAGTAGTAGTAGTAGTAGTAGTAGTAGTAGTAGTAGTAGTGTAGTGGTTGTAGTAGCAGTAGCCGTAGTCAGTAGCCGGTAGTAGTAGTAGTAGTAGTAGTAGTAGTAGTAGTAGTAGTAGTAGTAGTAGTAGTAGTAGTAGTAGTAGTAGTAGTAGTAGTAGTAGTAGTAGTAGTAGTAGTAGTAGTAGTAGTAGTAGTAGTAGTAGTAGTAGTAGTAGTAGTAGTAGTAGTAGTAGTAGTAGTAGTAGTAGTAGTAGTAGTATGAGCGTTCGTAGCATTACGATTACTACTAGTTGTAGTATTACTCATAGTATTATAAGTATCGGTACTTCTGATAGGTGGTTTGATAGTATTAGTGGGATTACTACGCGTCGTGATCAACTTAATATGTTTCGTTTTCGTATCATTGGCATTCGCATTTGTATTCGTATCCGTCGTGTTCGTCTTCTTGATGTTCTTAATACTATTATTACTAGTATTATTCCTCCTCCTCCTTCTCCTCATCCTTCTCCCCCTCCTCATCCTCATCCTCCTCCTCCTGCTCCTCCTCCTCCTCTTCCTGCTCGTCCTCGCTCTCGTGTCTTAGTTATTTTGCCCACGACCGCGCCCGTGGGCTTGCGGCCCTTCGGCGCGTGCTTCCAGGCGGGACTTCCCGCCGCGGGGGTCGGAGCATGAACTTGCTTCAGACAGTACATGATGGCGGAGTGGCGCGTCCTCCTCCTCCTCCTCCTCCTCATCCTCCTCCTCTTCCTCCCCGTTCTCCTCCTCATGGTCATCTCTTCCTCCTCCCCCTCCTCCTCCTCCTCCTCCTTATCCGTGCTCTTCGTTTCGATCTCCTCGACGTCCACATCCTCCTCCTCCTCCTCCTCCTCCTCCTCCTCCTCCTCCTGTGTCTAATCCTCCATTTCTTCCTCCCCCACCTCCCACATTCCTTTTTCCGCATCTCTGCCCTGTCGCACCACCAGACGTGTCCGTGGGGCGGGTCGGGCGTTTCGCCTGTCCTGCCTCGCCAACTGGGTTCTTGAAGCTTGAAACCTGCAGCAAGTTCGAAGATGGAGATCGGGTCCTTCTCCACAACGCAGTTCTCGCCTCAGCGCCGCGCGCGTTCGATGTAACAAATTGCAAACAGTTTCATAAATAGAGGCCAGCTCCATTTAAAAATGCATTTTTCGCCTCAGCGCCGCGCACATTCATTCTGAAAAAATGCGCCTGCTTCTGGGATGGAAGCCGGTTTTCACCATGTGTGCATCCATGCGGCGCGACCTTCACCGCCGCGCGCATCCATGCGGCGCAACCCTCACCATTCGATGCAAACCAACGAATATGTTCATATCAGTACGACCCAAACTCCACGACCCTACGCAAAAAACGGATACTGGGTGCACATCCGCATTGAAAAAGCCCATTCGGTGTACATCCGTACGACCCAACCCTGATCGTTTGATGTTGGAGGTACGAGTTGGTGCATATCATCCGACCCTACCTCCACCATCCGACGCAAAATATACAACCTGGTGAACATGTATCCGACCAACCCCTGGCTCCGAAGAGCCCTTCCTGGGCACAAGAAGCATAACAAAAACAATTAGCCTGGCGAAGGACCCAACCATATGCAGTTGTGACCACCGTCGTTGTATGCAACGCATTCGGAGGAGCTCCCTATAAAACCACGAAACGTGTGAGGGGTGTGCCGAAAATTGTGCGGTGGGCGCATGCGAAAGCAGCCACTGGGGCCATTGGTGGAATTCCCTATGGGGCCACGAGACGTGTCAGGGGTGTCCCGAAATAGGTGCTGTGGGCGCATGCGAACGTAGCCACTGGGGCCGTCGGTGGAGTAGCCACCACACGAAACGTGTGAGGGGTGCGCCAAGAAGCAAGAAAAACAATGAAGGGATCACAAGTCAGAATGGAAAGATACGTTTGGGGCACCCCATGCCTATTCCGATGTTGGACCCAAGCACTCCCCAGGCTGCCCCAGGCGCTCCCAGATGTTTCAGTCCCTACCCCAGCGCCCCCAGGCTCGCCGTCGCCACCAGCAGCAACAGCATCGTCCTCGTCGCCGCACGAGCCCCCAAGGAGCAGATGAGTTCAGATTGCGTTGACGCGTGGACCACAGACGGCTTTCACAATGGGTATCTCGCTGCCTGGCGCCGCCCACCATCGTTTTACACAAAAGAATAAATAAGAGAGCGGGTTGTTTTCCTTCAAAAGGAGCTCTCGACCTGGCGCCGTGCATGCTCGGCTTCAAAATTGTCCTGAGATGCGCGTGTGGATGGCAAGCCCTTTCCGAGACAGCGGAGGCATTGGGCAAGGACCCCTTCGATAATGATTCCAGAGTCTGGAAGCCGGTGAAACTCCGATCATGGACAGGCCATGGATATCACAGCCGCCCTCGTGAGATAAATCATCCTCCAGGGTCTGCAGCCTCCTCGGCACATTCCGTAACGAACGCCCACACCGTATTAGGGTCTCCTCTTGGCCTCGCGCACATTCGAATACAGCGTCCACCATCTACACTCACTTGACCCTTCCCACACCTCTACGACGCGGCGTTCCGTCTTGTGCAACAACAAAAACAGATGGAGGGCGGGTTCCTCTGTCGAAACGGGGCTCTCGCGTGAGACTTCCGCGAGGCATACGTCGACGACCTTGACATTCTGTAACGCTTAAACGGATGGAGGGCATGTCCTTCTCAATACGAGGTTATCCCAGGGCCTCCTTGAAGGGCTCTCGCACGGAACTTCCGCGGAGAAAACGTCCACGACTATGACATCCTGCAACACTGAGACGAATGGAAGGCATGTACTTCCCAAAATGGGGCTACCATGGGCGTTCTCCAAGTGGGAAAGGATCCATTACAACAGGCGCCCTCGTCTGACTGGCGGACCGACTGGCCGCTCGTCATTCATGGGGGCGCGCCCGCAGTGGAAAGGAAGGCTTGTATGGACTCATGAGGAGGCGACTTGGGACGGCAGAGGGATTTCAGCATCGGTTGATGCATCTTGGACTTGCTCTGGTCCTCCTCCTCCTCCTCCTCCTCATCCTTCGCCTCATCATCGCCCTTCCTCCTCCTGAGGATGAACTGCAGCATCGAGTGATGCATGTTGGGTTTACTCTGGTCCTCCTCCTCCTCCTCCTCCTCCTCCTCCTCCTCCTCTTCCTCCTCCTCCTCCTCCTCCCTCCTCCTCCTCTCTCCTCTCCTCCTCCTTAATCAATCTCCCCCTCCTCCTCCTCCTCCTCCTCCGCCCCTCTTCCTCCTCCTCCTCCTCCTCCTCTCCTCCTTATCATCGCTCCTCCTCCTCCTCCTCCCTCCCCTCCTCCTCCTCCTCCTCCTCTCCTCCTCCTCCTCCTCCTCCTCCTCCTTATTATCGCTCCTCCTCGTCCTCCTCCTCCTCCTCAGAAGAAGAAGAAGAGCCCCGCGCCTGCGAGGAGCCGCTCGGCCCCGGGCCCGGGCGCCCCGAGCCCGCCGGGCTCTCCGCCTCCGGCTTCCGGGCGACGCCAGCCTGTACCCAGCCTCGAACGTATCCCTATCCCTAAGCTGGGCGAGCACAAAGCGAGGACAATCTTAGGGATAGGCCCTCAAAAGCCGAGGGAATCCTCAAGATCGGCATCGAGGTGAGGTGATGTCAAACATGGGAATAGGGATGTGTTCCAGGCTGGTAAGCATGGCTAAGTACTTGAGGCGCGTGGATCGGTGGCAGGTCCCGTCGCCAGTCAGCACCGGCGCGCTCCGTCGCCACACCTGGCGGCGCCAGCCTCACGCTTCGGGGAGAGGAGGAGGAGGGAGGAGGAGGAGGAGGAGACGGAAGAGGAGGAGGAGGGAGACAGAGGAGGAGGAGGGGGGAGGAGGGAGGAGGAGGAGGAGGAGGAGGGAGGAGGAGGAGGAGGAGGGAGGAGGAGGAGGAGGAGGGAGGAGGAGGAGGAGGAGGAGCGAGGAAGAGCGGCCTGACCCCATCCCCGCCCGCGGCCCGAGTCTCGGCAGAGGGAGGGGGGTTGTGCGGCGCGCCAGCTCGTTGACCAGCGCGAAGGCGGCGCTGACGGCGAGGCCTCCGCCGCGCCACCGCCGCCGCGCGCGCGGCTCGCGGTGCGTCGTCGCTGCGTCCTTCGCCGCCCGCCTCGTCGACGAGGGCTCACCTTCACCCCCAAGTGCTCCGCGACCGGTGGTAAGCGCAGGGGGGTCGCCACCCCCGCCGACATCCCTGCGCCGACCCCGGGCGCGGGCCGCCGCCGCGCGCCGAAGGCGCTCCAACCCCCGCCGCGGTGCGCCGACGAGACAAGGCTGACCCCCGTCGGTGGGCGTGGGTGGGGACTTACGCTTCTTGCGAAGCGCAGACTCTGGCCTTCGGCGCTCCTCGGCAAGGAGAGCTCACGCTCACCCCCAAAACCCGGCGGTAACTCATGGGAGCCTCCCGTGCCGTCTTGCTGGCTCTCGCGAATCGACCGACGCTCACCGACACCAATCGTCGCCAATCGACGCCAATCCACGCTGAATCGACGCTCATCGCCGCGAAGTCTGCGCTTTCTCATCGGTTTCCAGACGGTAGCGCACGCTGGTGCACTCTGAGACCAGAATTGCGGTGGTTCGGCTACACGCAAGAGTGATCCTAGGCAAGAGTGACCTTTAGTGCGCAAAGTAAGGGGGCGCAAGGTGGCCAAATCCAAGCGCGCAAGCAGCCACCATCGCATCGCGCTAAGCGATCGGGGGGGCCCTGGTGAGCCAGCAGCAAAGAACACACCGGCGAAGGGTCGGTCTGACGTGTAGTCGAATGATATACCCAGACCCCCGACGTCGTGATTTTTCACAACGTCGACCCCCAAAAGTCTGGACCCCTTCCCCGGGACCAGTTTTCCATCCTGGGTAGGTTTTGGATGGTCCCGAGGCCCGGCGAGGGCCCCCGGAGGCCGAAAATAACGAAAAACCTCCGTTCCTGGGTCGGTTTTTGACGGTCCCGAGGCCCGGCGAGGGCCCCCAGAGGCCGAAAATAACGAAAGACCTCCGTCGCGATTTGCTCACAGCGCGCCGCCTGCATGGGCCAGCCAGCCCTTCCTCGGCCGGCCCCCAGGAGGGCCTCTGCGCGCGCCCGCGGCGGCCGGGGGCGCCGTCGAAAAATCGGCGCCAGCCCCCTCCGCAAGGCGGGGGGGGAGAGGGCGCTCCCGGCCCGAGGCAGCCAGGCCCGAAGCAACCGTCCTCCGACTCCTCCCGCCGCGTGGCCGCTCCTCCTCGCCCCCGTCCTCCTCCCCCTCCTCCACCACCCCACTGGCGCACCTCCGCCGACCCCCCGCCCCGTCCCCCTCCTCCTGCGAATTCTCCACTCCTCCACGCCTTCAGCGCCAGTTCTTGAATCCTCATCCCACATCATCATCATCATCATCATCATCATCATCATCATCATCATCATCATCATCATCATCATCATCATCATCATCATCATCATCATCATCATCATCATCATCAGCAGCAGCAGCAGCAGCAGCAGCATCATCATCAATCATCATTCATCATCATCATCATCATCATCATCAGCATCATCATCAGCAGCAGCATCATCAGCACCATCATCATCATCATCATCATCATCATCATCATCATCATCATCATCATCATCATCAGCATCAGCATCATCATCATCATCATCATCATCATCATCAGCATCAGCATCATCATCATCATAATCATAATCAGCATCAGCAGCATAATCAGCATCATCATCAGCAGCATCAGCATCATCAGCATCATCAGCATCATCAGCAGCATCATCATCACCATCATCATCGTCATCATCAGCAGCATCATCATCGTTGTCATTATCGGCATCGTCATCAACAACAGAATCATAATCAGCATCGGCATCACCAGCACCATCATCTTCATCATCATCACAATCGCATCAGAATCAGCATCAGAATCAGCATTAGATCAGCATCAGCATCAGCATCAGCATCAGCATCAGCATCAGCATCAGCATCAGCATCAACAGCATCATCGTCATCATCATCAGTACCATCTTGATCAGCATCATCACCATCATCATCGCCACCACCACCACCACCACCACCACCATCATCATCATCATCATCATCATCATCATCATCATCATCATAGTCATAATCATCATCAACAGCATCGTCAGAATCAGTATCGACCTCAGCACAATTATCAGCATCACCATCACTATAACCATCACCGTCATTATCATCATCATCATCATCATCATCATCATCATCATCATGCTCACCATCATCATCATCAGCATCATCATCATCGTCATCATCAGCAGGATCCATCATCGCAACCACCACCACCATCATCATAATAATCATCATCACCATCACCATCAGAATCATCATCGTCATCACCATCACAACATCATCATCATCATCATCATCAGCACCATCATCAGCAGCATCAGCATAGACAACAACAGCAGCGTCATCGTCATCATCGTCATCATCGTTATCAGGATGTTTACCATCATCAAAATCAGCATCATTTACAACATCAGCATCACCATCAGCATCATCATACTAATCAACCTTATCAGTATCATCGCCATCACCACCACCATCATCATCGTCATCGTCATCGTCGTCATCATCATCACCAGCAGCTCCATCAACCACGACAGCAACAGCAGCAGCCGCAGCAGCAGCCGCACCACTGTCATCATCAAAATCTTCATCATCAGCAGCATCACCACCACCACCACAGCCACAAACAACAAGAACAACAATCATTGTAAGATTTATTGCTCTTACCTGGCCGCGTGCCATCCAACGTGTATCCCAAACCCTCGATACCCGCCCTCTTCGTCTGTGGTCGGCGCACGTGTAGTTGGCGCAGTCCGTAAAACAGAGGAACGGATGAGGGAAGCGACATCTGGGAGGGAGAAGGATGGAGCACGAGAGAGACTTGCAAAAGGGGGGTTAGGAGCATGAAAAACAACCGGCAGAACCAGACGGGTAAGTCGGGCGGGCGGACCCTAACGGGCAGGTCGGGCGGGCGGGCCCAGCCGGCCAGGTCGAGCGGGCAGGTCGCATAAGCGTCAATCCAACATGAATCGCAAGGATGTTTCGAGCGATAACGCGATTCCCAAATAAATCGTAAGGAAGTTCAAAGCGAGAGCATGATTCCTGAGTGTTGGGGGCACGGCGTCGCAATAAATTGCGTAGAAGTAACATGCGAGAGCACGATCCATGTATAAATTTTGACGAGTCCCTCGCGAGACAGCGATTGTGAAATACATTGCGAAAAAATATCAGACGGGAGCCGCTGTTGTTGCAAACCGGGGGCCAAGGGCACGGTTTGAGGAATATTTACTTTCTCCTGTTAAAAGCAATGTGCGAGCCCAAAGGGGGGCACTTCACTTTGAAGAATACTCTGTGCACCGGGCAGGGGGGATCAACTAGAATTATTATTCAGTAGCGAGGGCTCTTCAACAACAACAACAACAACAACAACAACAACAACGACAACAACAACAACAACAACAACAACAACAACACCAACAACAACAACAACAACAGCAACAAAGATCACGACCACGACCACGACCACGACAACGACAACGACAACAACCAAAACAACAACAACAACAACAACAACAACAACAACAACAACAACAACAACAATCACTTTACCCGAACGCTCAGTGTTCTCACCAGTGCCAGGGTTTTCATGCGACGCCAGCCAATACCCCCACTTTGTGGGGGGGCAGTGCAAGCTCTACCAAATATCCACACGACTCTTCGCCACCACCCACACCCAGCTTCCCGCCCTATGACGTTCGGACACTTCACTTCGTGGCCTGCGGACGACCGTGGCTACTACACTGGCGTGGAGTACACACCCACAGAAGTTGTTAAGCCTACGTTCGTACACCCACAGAAGTTGTTAAGCCTTGTTAACCCACAGAAGTTGTTAAGCCTTCCACAGAACATCTGTTGCATATGATGCATATGGTACATGATACACATGATACACATGATACGTACTCACAAGATAGTTGATCACATCTTTAGGGCAAATTCCTGAGGGATGTGGGAATATACAAGAGAGAGAGGATATGGTTGTCCCGATGGTTGTCTCGATGGTTGTCCCGATGGTTGTCCTGATGGTTGTGGTTGTCCCGATCGTTGTCCCGATGATTGTCCCGATGGTTGTCCTGATGGTTGTGCTTGTCCCGATCGTTGTCCCGATGACTGTCCCGATGATTGTCCCGATGGTTGTCCCGATGGTTGTTCCGATGGTTGTCCCGATGGTTGTCCCGATGGTTGTGAGCGATGCCGGATCCTCACGCCCCCCGCCGGAGGAGGAGGAGGAGGAGGAGCAGGCTCTTGGGGCCTCTTGAAGGCCTCCTGGGGCAACCTATGGCGCAACCAGTAGGGGGACGTTTTATTCTCGGCGGCCGAGGGCGCAACCTATGGCGCAACCAATAGGGGGACGTTTTATTCTCGGCGGCCGAGGGCGCAACCTATGGCGCAACCGCAAGGGATTGTGGCCCCTGGCAGGCGCGCGAACCCCGTTGCAAGAGCGTGCGAAAGTAGCTCGCGCGAGCTCATGTAACATAAATGTTGGAAAACCATTGGTTTTTTTAGGATTCGGACAGCGCGCGCGGGTAGAAATTTTGAAAAGTCGTGCAGGTGTTTTTCGAGGACCTACGGTGCGATTCGTGTGATTTTATGATGCGCGGTGCTAAAATTCTTAAGAAGCCCAATGGTTTTTGGAGATTTCGGCGTGCGCGCGCGAAGAAAAAACGAATGTGTCCCGCATGGTATTATTTGACAGGGATGATGGCCCTGGCAGGTGCGCAACCGTTGTCGCAGAAGTTCGAAAAAGTTGCTCGCAAAAGCCCGTTTGACAGAAATGTTTAAAAAGTGTTGGGTTTCCTACGAATCCGCAAGAGCGCGCGGGATGAGATTTTGACAATTTTTTGTTGAAAAACCATTGGTTTTTTGATGTTTTTATGTTAAAATCGCTGCGAACACTAAGGTTTTGGAAGGATTTCGTCTTGCGCGCGCGAATGTCCACTTTACCTTATTTTTTGCAA